CTCTAGAAAGCAAAGCACATCATTTGTCCAACCAACAGATAAGACAGCTTTTATTTTAAACATGGCACTCTAAAATCTAAAACACAAAAAGCAAGTATGTTCAGAGGAACTGATTTGGCAGAACACATACAAAAAAGTCAAAATACAATTTTTAGTGTCTGAAGCTCCATGAGAAGAGTATCAGCTGGGAAAGGCAACAGCGTAAGTGTAGACAGATTTGGAAACTTTCTGCTTATATTTATACTGAGCATTGTCAATCTGGTTAGATACACCAGCTCACTCAAATCACTTTTATAAAGCAGCAGCAGAGCATTACTTTTGAACATCAGCATATCATGCAGCGTTTTCCATGAAGGAAAAAAGTAAGCATTCGCCTCAAAACTTAAGAGAAAGCAAATTTGCTGCTCTAGTTCTCAACAAATACAGGAACAATTTTGCATTTTCTAAACAACTGTGACCAAAGAAAAGCAGTGTTCCTGTTTTAGAGGTATGGAAGAGGCAAAGGTACTAGAAGACAGGCTTAAGACACTATGACAATATTCAAATTAAGACTTGAATTGTGTGTTTATACTTCTCTACAATCAATCTAGATTGTCTCCTGTTCGTAAAATGCCATGATTAGCTCTTACATATTAAAAACAGCTAAACTGAAGTAACAGCATAAAATTGGCCAAAGCAGAGAGAGGCATGATTGTACTGTATCGCTCTTCTCCCTTGAAGACACCAGTAATAAGTTCAGACATTTTACTGCCCAAAGCTATTTTCATCTTTGCAATTTTTAAACCCAACATGACAGCGCTTCTCAAGTTTCCAATCCTTTGCACGCATTTCTTAGTCATCAAAGGCTCCTTTCCTGCTTGCACTCTAATTTTTTTGAGGCAGTTAGCCACCACTGGCTATGGGAGGAGCTACATTTAAACAGGCTAGCTTTAAACAGGCTAGCTCTGGAACGTTTAAAGAAGCAGTGAAAATACTGGCAATGTTATTTATATACTACCAACACTCACTTCTTCCATCTACTAGTCTGAATATTGCCTTGCGCAATTAAAGCTTGCTAAAAGTATAAAAAGTTGCTTCTATCATCTGTGGTAAATTTTTCAATGCTGGTCTACTGCAAACACAACAGGCTGCTAACAAATATTAAATTTCAACTTAAAATTAATCATTCTATTTCATCACATAGCAGTTAACAGAATTTTACGGAGTAAGACCAGGGTTTTATGACAAACTTTAATCCAGATTGTCTGACTTACTGGGAAACAGCCAGATAACGTTTACTTGGAAAACAACTGCTTAATTTTGCCTATGTTAAGAGCCTCGGGTGGGCCCTTGCTGGTGACATGGCATAGATGACTTGGATTTTTGGGAAGATTTTGTATCACTAGAGAAGAAACTCCTCCGTATATAAAACCACTAAAGATTTACACAAAGCAAAGCTGAAGGTGAACGTGAACAAGGGGGAAGTAGAAGGGAAACAGCTGTGCCTGCCTGAAACTGTAAGAGACATTAACTAGGGAGTTGCCCCCTCCCCTCACATTGGCTTTGAGCCTTGGCTGAGGCCAGCGCCGCAGTGATGTGAAAGCAGGGAGCAGCACAGCTGCACCAGTACCACTTCACACCCCATCTGCTAGGTCTATCCCAGCAACTACAGCCTCCAGCACTTCTCCACTGTAATTTGCGCCTGCTGCACAGCACATACTGACAATGAATAGGGAGAACAATGTAAACAAAAGAAAATAAACTACATAATTATACAAGGCCTGACAGATACCCACACATCCGTAAAACTGTCCTGGTTTCATGTGTGAACAGACTGAAACCCGAGCTGAGCATCCTTCTCTGGGTTTGGTTCCCCCCCCCCCAATGTATTTTTTTCAGGCAGGCACAGAGACTAACAGTAACTACCATGACCAAGGTAACCCAGAACTAAAATCCTCATAAAACAGATTTGGAACATGCTTAATGGGTCACTCACCTGGTAGCCTGTTTGACATTTTAAACAACTCTAAGGACAGGAGATGGTGTCCCTTGCAGAACGCACATCTGTCCCACTCCTTCATGACTCTCTTTTCTGCTGAACAGAAGCCTGACCCAGTACTTCATTTTCACTTTAAACAATTCAGTCACTGACAATGCAGAAATGATACGCTGATTTACTTCACAACAGAAGAAAGTAAGTTAACTGGGGAAAAGTAATCTGCTTTTTCTCTTTTAGTACCTGAGACATTTCAGGCTTGGATACATTGTTGAAATACCTGTGTAAACATCGAACTAACACCCCGCACAATACATTCTGTTCATGGCTCCTGACCTCTTCCAGAAGCCACAGCTTTTACAGCAAAAGCCATTTGAGGGTGCTTGCAGCTGGTGAAAACTGTTTTCTGCCCAATGCTAGGAATCAAATCTCACTACTGTTAGTTCATAAAACAGGCTCTTCAGCTGTCTTTTCAAGGGGGACAGACCAAATAGAAGAGAGGAATAAACACCACCCTGGCTACTGGTCTTTATGCTTTGGGTCTTTATGCTTTATAAGCATGGGGGACAGCACTTGGCAGCACCCTGACTGCAGTACAGGATCCAGAGCAGTGAAAATGAAAGCAGGAATCACTCCAGTAACTCAGCTTTATCTTCTCGCACCTTAGGCCTGCATTAGAATAGAGATCCTATGGTAAATACAGAGAGTGGTATGGTAGCACCAAGACAAAAAGAAACCCATATGGTGGAAGAAGGGTAACCACCAAAGAGGATTCTTGCTCTTTTTCATGGCCAGGCAGCCCATGCTTGACTCCAGACTGAAAGCCATCTCAGGAGATAGCACAGATGTCCTGGTGTGCTGCTGTCAAGACTGATCCCACAACACTGTACAGACTAGCAAGGGCAATAATGCCTATCCTGAGTTCACACACGTCACTCCCAAAAAAGAGGAAACTGAATGGGACCATGAAAACGTGTACTAGCGCATGTCTTCCCATGTCTCCGCTGCACCCACACTGCTGGCTCTGCAGGCTTGCAGGCAGAGCAAGGCATGTGGGAAAATGCTAGGTACCAGCTCTGTACTTGGGAAGGAATGGAAGGGGAGGGGATCAAGCCCACCTGTGCTGTCAGCAGGTTGCTGCATGAGCTGGAACCTGTCTGCAGGCTGCCACTGAAAGACACTGACATGCAGCACATCACATGCATTTTAAATTAGATTTTCACCCCAGATGATGATTTTCTCCTAAAAATGTTTCAGCATTAAAAAGACAGCTAAGGGGAAAGCATTAACTGAGAATAAATTGGAAAAAACAGAACGGGCGTTGTATTCACGTGCATGTTATTCATTGTGGTTTTTTGTTTAAGTAAAATTTGTAGCCAAGGACAATGGCATATGCACCCATTACTAAAAAAAAAACAAACCAAAAACAAACAATAAAACACCCCACGGTACTAACATCCGGGAGATAACTTTTCACATTAAGATACATTTAAACCACCTTCCAACATGAAAAAGGGTAGACATCCTACAAAAAGATTTTAAAAACTTAATTTTCCAGATTTGGAAGAAAAAAAAAAAAAGGAAGATAAAACCCCATATTTGATTTGCTACTGTCTTGCCTCCACAGTTCTAAGAGCTTTTATTACCAATTTATTCACCACAGTTGCATAATGGCAGATTTAAAATATAATCCCAAACCAGTTTTTAAAACAAATTAAAAAATTTAAATAGGATTTTAGAAAGTAATTATGTAAGTTTAAAAGTGACCTAAGTCAGATACAAAATACTACATAAACATAATTCCTACACAACTATTTTAAGGTTTTGAAGCTTTGTTGGTTGATACTTTCACTTTCAGATTTTAATGAAAAAATTACCTTTTAACCAATTTTTTCACTAAAAATTGCCTTATAGAAAATAAAATCTGAGTTTCTCCAGAGTTCTTGGCCTATAACCTCCTAAATTAGTGCTCACTGGAAACAGCATTTAGAAAAGTGTTCCTTAGTTTTAAGCATCACAACTGCTAAGATGTTTCAGGAGAGTCTAAAACTAAGTCCAACTCCCACATTTCTGAAAAAAACAAAAGAGAAGGAACCTTTTCTGTATTGTCCAGAAGCTAATTACAGAGAACATATTTTTAAAAGTTGCTGACTGTATGTAAACAGAGTTATGTAAAAGGCAAGCACTGTGTTTCAACGATGTAGCAGTATTGCTGGGAAGGACTTCCATTTTATGAGTGTATTAGGCTACACAGGTGGTTTTATTTAGTACATTTCTGAAGTCTTCTGGAACATACTCCACTGTGGTCTTACCTAACAGGAAATCCATTTTGGTCTAATAATATAATGCCCATGAAAGATACTAGATATTCTTAAAAACAAAATATCTAAGGAGGCTTTCCTTTGAAAAAATGAAGTATTTTTAAGTCTTTTACACCCAACAGGAGCTACAGTGTCTTCCTTTCCACCTTCTCATCAGCTAGGTGGTTTTGGAGTAAATAGCACTCCTTAATGCATCTCTGTCTCCAGCCCGTATATTACCTAGTGCTTCGTATCAAACATATGCTGATGCTGCACCAGTGCCTTCCTGCATATCTGTGAGTGTCCTCAACTAAAAATATCAGTGTGAGTTTTAGCAAATACTGTTACGACAGCAATTCTTCCTCCTGTTACTAGCGGCAGGTAAGACACAGCGATCCAGCTTCTCACTAAGGATGACAAAGCTGGGAACCCAAAGCCAAAACGTAACGCGCTACAGGAACTGGCTTGCAAGTGTGGAAATTACCCAGCATCTCCCATCTGTAATTTATTACGTAGCACTTGCCAGATGGACGAAACCTCGTTCTTTACTTAGCACCTTGCACCTATACATGCTAAGGGAAAAGGGTGGGTGGGAAAAAACAACATTTTGGAGCGTGGTCCTGGAATGCCACCGTGACAGACTGTGATTTTGCAACCGCATTCTCTCCCCGGCGGGTAACACATGCAACCATCCTGGTAAGAGGGGCAAGAGTCGTGACACTCACGAGGTGTAGGCAGGGTAGCCGAAGCCGATGATGTTGCAGAGCAGGGACGCGCCGTAGCCCACCACCAGGTACACGGCCACCGCCC